CGAACAATACAAAAAACTTAAAAATAACTAAGCCCGTCAGGCATAACTATAACACATCACGTCCTAGAATTCCTTCATGGTCAGTAGGGCTTCTACCCTTTTTACCCGTAAAGGTACACATTCGTCTGTTCTTACTATCTAAGTAATCTTGAGATGCTTTCTTTAAAATACTCTCTTGCTGGTCTTCTGTCTGGGTCACTATGAAATCCAGCCATTCTAGAGCGCCATATACTGTGCAAGGCAGTCATCATGATAAAATCGAAAGGTAATCCATCCTCATTGTTTATTGCCAAATACCTGATCCCATGAGGGTCTAACGGGAACTCTTTTTTGATTGTCCTTTGTAACACGTCCCAAAAATAAACTCCTTCCCAACAGTGCAGGAAAACATGGTCGATAGTGTCCGGTTTCTTACAGATTAGACAGTGAGATCCCCAAGGCATATAAAACCCACGCTCCTCTAGGAAGGTTCTTACAGGAAGTGTTCCAGTGTGTAATTTGAAAAAGAACGTTCTCGCACTTGGAGCTGCTGGCATTTTTTTAACTCGTTTAAGTACGTTCTGACCCTTGCGTGCTGTATATAGCGCTCTGTACAGTGGGATGGGGAGCATCGTGTCACATAAGTCTTTGTACAGTTTTTTCTTTCCAACAGACCACAGGTAGTCAGTTGAAAAACGAACACACAAAAACCGCACGCTGGCCACTACTTCTTTCATGTATCCTTGCACAGCCCCTGTGGTAACATGGGTGCTCACAACAAACTCAGGCAACAGTCTACTTAGTCTTGTTTGACACACTGTTAGTAGGAAAGGATCTCTTGTCTCACGAAAAAAGAAAAACCTATTTACTAACTGCTTGATAAACAGATGTCCTAGCCCAAGGCCTCCACACTTCACCCGTCTAAACAAATTCGTTCGACTGCACCTTTCCCAGTTAGACCCCCACACAAATATTGCAAACACCCGATGTAATTTTTGCACATTGACCCGGGAACAGTACAGCACTTGCATCACATACCACAGCTTAGGCACAAAAAACCAGTCGCATGCAGTAGCCCTAGCAAACATGGACAGATAAGTTGCATTCCACCTATTCGCTTTCTCTTTAATTTCTTTCGTTTGCTGTGTCCAATATTCGTCAGTACTTTTGTATGACTCGAGCGGTACTCCGAGATATTTAACTGGCATTCTTGTCCATTTAATGGCTGCAAAAAATTCTGGTGTTGAAGGCCAATATCCATGCCAGAAGCCGAGGCATTTACCCCAGTTTATGTGGCTTCCTGTAACTTCGGCGAACTATTTAGAAACTGATTGATTCTTCAATACCGACATAGGAAGTGCTACAAATCGCAACATCATCAGCGTATGCGAGTAGTTTGACCTCTGAAGATTGTACTCTAAACCCATTAATGATGTCATTCTGCAATATTGACCGACATAACGTTTCAATATAGATGCAAAACAACAGTGGACTAACCGGGCAACCTTGACGCACTCAGCGCTCAATTCTAATGGGGGGGGGCCCAATGTCTTGTTGATAATTAGTCTCGTACTACCATTCCGATATGCCATGGCTACTCTGTCAATAATTATCTTACCAACATTAATGTGCTTCAATACTGCAAACAAAAGAGCGTGGGCAACGCAATCAAACGCTTTCTCTAGATCCAGTATGGCCACACGAGCTTGACTGGTGTCAACACATTCGAGCACGGATCGCATTTTATGAACGTTTGTAACTATGGACCGACCTTTGATTCCACACGTTTGGTGTGGACCGACGATATCTTTTATTACTGACTGAAGTCTAGCCGCCAAAATTTTCATTAATATTTTGTAGTCTACGTTTGTCAGTGTGATTGGCCTGTACGCTGTGACGTGCCTGAGCTTTTCAGTCTCGTCTGTTTTCGGAATGAGAACGGTACGCGATTCACCAAAGGATGGTGGTAATTTCTTTTCCTCATATGCCTCATTAAAAACGCCTGCAAGTATAGGAGACAGTTCACTTTTAAAACATTTGTACCACTTAGCACAAAGACCATCTGGTCCTGGAGATTTTCCGGGATTTAACTTATCAATCGCCCGTTCCACTTCAGATGCAGATATAGATAATGCCAAAGCGTTTTTCACTTCCTCACTCACTTTCGGCATTCGTCCTAAATATTCTTCTTTAAATCTTTCTAGGTTTACCTGTCTACACGCAAAAAGGTTTTCAAAATGACTTGAAAATACGGATAAAATGCTGTCCGCATCAGTTACTTCGTGACCATTCTTCTCTATTTTTTCAATATGATTCTGTCGAGCGTTCGTTTTCTCCACCCCTAACGCTCTTTTGGTTGGCGTCTCTCCCGCAGCTAAAGCCTCAGCCCTAGCACGGACGAGTGCACCGCGGTAGCGTTCCTCGTCATGCAGTGCAAGTTTCTGCTTAATATTGCGTATGTCAATTTTATACTCTCCCGGTTGTTTGCACTCCAAGTCTATTAGTCTTTCCAAAGTCTTTCGGAGTTCTTTTTCTGTCTTTTTCCTTTCGTAACTCAATGCGCAAGAACGATCAATAGCTTTTATTTTTATTCGCTGCTTGAACTCTTCCCATTGTTCTGCAAGTTTAACTTCATCGTCCATTTTTATTTCATTGATACAGTTCATTACCTTATCTAAGAAATATTTGTCAGTGATCAAAGTGGAATTCATCTTCCACAGCTCCCATGAGAAAGTTCCACCTTTTGTTTTCTCTCCCATATCACATTTAACTAAACAATGATCACTGAAGTGTATAGGGTAGACAGCATATGTTTTACAGTGGGCAATTAATTCAAGTGACACGTAAATGCGATCAAGGCGCACATGGCTATTCCCCTGAAAATGTGTGAAACGCACATCCCGCGTTCCCTCCATACAGCTGCCCACGTCTTCTAACTCGAATTCAGTAATTACGTCCGCTAGCGTCCTACTACTTTTATCGTAAATGGCGCGTCCATTTGCTCGATCTCGCCCGCTGAGGACACAGTTAATATCACCAAGTAATACATATTTCCTTTCCAAAGTGAAGTGCTGCTTTAGGCTTGAAAAAAAAGTGATCGCTCCTCGCAAATGGTTGGTGCATAAATACACACTATACGCCACTGACATTCATTGAATACAATATCACAGGAAACCAATCTACCAGACGGGCAAGAGAAGGTGTCTTGCACTACCAGACCCGGCAACTTCTTAATGAACAAAACACTGCCTGCAGACGTGCCTATTGCTTGACTTACAATTGTGTAGTAACACGCCGTAAACCTCAGCACCATGCCCCGGGTCTCCTCCTCACCGTCTACTTTTGTTTCTTGTACAGCTAGTATATCCAGATCATGATCCAGGAGCAGCGTGTAGACTTGGCTCTGTTTCCGCTTGGCGGCAAGACCTCGAACATTTAACGTTGCCACTCTAAGTTTCGGTGCAAACGTTATGTCTACACCATGAAGAAGTTAGCCCGGGGCATGATGCTTACCTTCAGCGCCTAGCATAGAGCTAGACATCTTCGGAGCCTCCAGGTGGACCCGTGCCACTGGAGGGCAAAGGAGGCCAGTGTTTGTCCAATGTCGGGTTGGGACGCAGCCTTGTGCTGCTGCGTCTGAACGAAGTGGCCTTCGCAGGTGGCCCCTCTTCATGCTTTTCACTGGATGCCTCACGCCGTCCTGCAGACTGCTCGCGGGGTCTTTTGCTTGACGCCCCACCACTGATACTCTCGCACAACACTGGAAGTTCGGTTAATTCCACCGGCTCCGGCGCCTTCGATGGGGTACTTGTGAAGCCTTCTTCAGTTTGGCCGGCTGGCTTTTGAGTAACCTCCCCAGATTCTATGTCTGCTTGTACTGTTGGTTCATTACCACCAGTCGGTGTGGCAGTAACTGTTGAAGCTTCTGGGTTCGCCACGTCGCCTGCGCCTTTCGCCGCGTCTTCAGCCTCGGTCACGTCCATCACCAACTCTGCTGTGTCTTCACCTTCAGCTGATCCTACAGCCGATGCGTACGTGCGCATGCACGCGTCTTCGCTGTGGCCAAACCGCCGACAACGCGAGCATCGGGGTACCTTACACTCTCTTCTAACATGGCCGGTACCTTGGCAGCGCAGACACTGCATTGGCCGACCAGGTGCAACCACAAAAGCCAGTTCACCAGCCACCCTGATTTGATGCGGGAGATCTTCAACCTTCACACCACTCTTGAGCTTAAGTAGCACAGTCCGTGTGGTTGACCCCTTGTCGCTGACTCCTTGAACACGCTAATTCTCCCTGGTGACTTGTACGACTTCCTTCCCATAAGCCGCCAACGCCGTTCGCACGTCTTCATCGTTGACGCCATACAGCAGCCAATGAAGACGCAGCCGCACCTGCTGATCCTGGGCATGTCCTGGGGGTCTACGATGATGCAGCGTCGACCCTTGACTTTCAGTTCCTTCACATCCAGCAAGCGTCTCGTAGCGTCCGCGTTGTTCATGGTGACTGCCCAGACATGATTTATCTGGTAGGCCCCCAGTGCCAACACCTCCGGCAGCAGTCCTGTAGGTCCGAGCGCGTCTCGGAAATCTTCCACTCGATACGGTCTGCCGCGCACATCACCGTGTAAAAACACAGTGTTTTGCGCGACGCGTCCCTTGGGCAGTGGTGGCAAAATTACTTCGTATCCTGCGTCTTGCTCTTCGCTCATCCTGTTACCGCGGCTAGTATGTGCCGCAAACGCCGCTCCTACGGAGCACATGATTCTTGCGTCCGACGCACGTGAGTGCCGACGAAAGAATGACTACGCCACAGCTGCTGATCAGTTTGAGCTGGCAAACAAGCCGGTTTTGTATTGTTGCCACGCTAAACCTAACTAACATTTTTGTTCACTTTTTCGTTTGGACGTAATTTTAACTGGTTTTATCGTTATGTCTAGACTTACCGCTAGACACTCCCGACTATTCAAACAAAGCGCCTAACCAAAAATTGCATGACGTCACTTCCGTGCGGCGCAGCAGCCGTTTCTGTGTGGGGGTGGCTCGTGCGCCGCGCGGCGCAGCAGTCTCTGCTTTATTTATATCGCAGTTTTTTGATCTCTCGTGTGCCTTGCAAGTTACAACATCGCCAGTTCTTATTTAGACCCACGGCGTTGGCAACGTGCGACCGTCGATAGGAAAGTGAAACGTCCAGGCTCGACGACGGAGATGTGCCGTACCCCTAATGCACCCTTTGTGCAAACTAGTCTTCGGCAATAGGTGAAAACACGATGAACCGCAGTCATATGGAATCAGAGGATGGCATCCACATCAAGTTCGAGGATCTCCCGTTCGAGCTTCAGCTGCTGGTGTTCACTTACTTGACGCACAGCGAGCTTTCTGTGGCAGCCCGCGTGTCCAACTCTTTTCGGCGACTCGCGTACGATCCATCGCTATGGAAGCGCGTCAAAGTGGACAGCAGTGACTGTAACGCGGCTAGCTTCGGGGCGCTCCTCGATCGAGCGCCGCTTCTCGAAGATTTGACGATGCGCGCATCGCCGCACGTCCTCGAACTGGCGGCGCGCTCGTTCGCGGTGCGCAGGCTGCGCCTACTGGACGTCGGCTTCTCGGTGGGCGTCAACTGTGCGGCCGTCTCGGCGCTCGTGGATGCATGTACTGACCTTTCGCACCTGAACGTTGAAGGCTGCAAGGCCATGGATGACGCGGCCGTAACGATGCTCTGCCGGCTTCCGTGCTTCCTGAGCCTCAACATCTCGCACTGCGGCTTGGTCACTGACGAGGGCATCGTTGCCCTGGCGCGCGGCTGCCCGCACCTCAGGTTCCTCAATATCGATGGCATCCCCAGGATAACGGACAGGTACGTCGCTGTCGACGTCTCGGGCGCCAGGCATGCTTCGACTTCCTCCCGCGCCTTGCCGTGCGGGGCTTAGCGGTGTCCGCGGAAACGGAGATCCTCTAGTGATTGGATCTTACGGAAGATGTGGCAAGGTTCCTTTTGGCGTTGCATAAATGGTTGCCAGACTGGAAGGGTGGTTGTTGCCAAATTGCCGCTAAATTTCGCTGCAAAATTTTCTCCTGTAGTTGTGGCTTTTCCGTAAAAGTTTGGTGCTATCCGCGGTGCACTTCTTGGCTGAAAATTTTTCTCCTGTAGTTGTGGCTTCTCCGTAAGAGTATGGTGCTATCCGCGGTGCATTTCTTGGCTGAAAATTTTTCTCTTGTAGTTGTGGCTTCTCCGTAAGAGTTTGTTGCTATCTGCGGTGCATTTCGCGAGTGCATGAGCGACGCTGGCCGTTTTAATTAACGGAATGAACCAAGCCTAGCAGAAGCCGAGCGCGGCGCTGCTGCGCAATTAAGAGGCCGTTTTAATTAACGGAATGAACCGCGCCAAGCAGAAGTCGAGTGCGGCGCTGCTGTGCAATTAAGAGGCCGTTTTCATTAATGAAATGAACTGCCAATTACAGAAGTAGAGGCACGTTCTCTTGCTATGTGCGCAGCTGTGCGATTAAGATATTGCGTCTCAGTATTCGGGATGACGGGGAAAACTGAATAGAGTCGCAGGAGGTGATGCGCTGCCCCCCTCCCCCCTTACTTTTCTTTTTTTTTCCTCTCTCAGCTGATCGTGTCGCGTCGACCGCGCGCTACGACGGGGGACGCTACGTTTCCCCTAGCTGTGTCAACACAAGACATATCGTTCGGACTCGTATATACATGTGATGAATAAGCGTTCCAAGGCTGGTTAATCGGGGTACGTCGGATATGCTACAGCTATGTAAGCCTGGAAGGCTGCTTTATCGAAGCAGATGGAGCGAATTAAGCGCGACTTGCGCGTACCTGTAAATGCGACCCGGCCGACGAGCCGCCGTCGCTTACAGGGCCCCACCCACAATAAGCACAAATAGTCTCTCAGCTCAAGAGCGCAGTATAAAACAATGGGTGGGTACATAAGAATAAAATGCCATAATATGTCTCACTACACGCTCATCACTCAGGATATGGCAGGGATCCCTAAACGGGATATCGGCGAGCGATCACCTCCATTAATCGAAGGAAAGGGTCTTTCACGTTGAGACGTGCAACGACCAAGTACGTCTCGAGAGGCAAAAAAAGGAGCCTTGCCCCTGTCTACCCTGCATCGTGAGTGTCCCGCGGAGCTGGGACAGCTAGCTGTTTCCTGCAACCATTGTACCTGAAATGTGGGTCTGCTCGTTTTTTTGCCAGGGCGATTGTACGTGACGACTTACTGCATCCTGCGTCACCATAATTAAGCCGAGGTCCTTGCGAATTCCCCATCTCCCCATCACTCGGATGTCGGCGGCCGCTTCTGTGCTGTTCCCGACTGTCTGCAGGTCGAACTGCCGCTCGAAGCGATGGCGTCTTCGACAGTCCAATAATGCGACGGCTCCTGAAATGGTGACAATGTACTTTGCACAACTAACGTTACGGCAATTCGTAAGGATCACGATCCTAAAGTTTAGGGATTGCGACCGAGATAGGGAGCACCAAATAAGGAAATTTAAGAGGTTTACGTGAGCAAGTTTGGCCATGTCTCGACGCCCAATGCATTGAGGTGGAGTACGTGCCCTGGGTGGTGTACTGTTTACATGATACGTGGGTCACATCACGTAGCATCACGTAACGTCGTTCGCACTCCCGCTCAAGTCACCGTTGCTGTGGAGAAGGAGGGGCAACGAAGTGGAGTACGTGACCTAGGTGTTGTACGATTCGAGGCGTCTTCGCCTATCCCGTATTTTCACACATATGCTCGCGTCGCGTCGGCGCCATGTCAACCAACGTTAGAGGTACAAAAAGGTTTTTTTATGTTTTTTTTTAATTCCAGGCATCTTTGCCCACCCCCTCTTTCTCCGCAGACACTCGCGTCGCGTTGGCGCCATGTCAACCAACGTTAGAGGTCCAAAAAGGTTTTTTTTATGTTTTTTTTTATTCCAGGCGTCTTTGCCCACCCCCTCTTTCTCCGCAGACACTCGCGTCGGGTCGGCACCATGTCAACCAACGTTAGAGGTCCAAAAAGGTTTTTTATGTTTTTTTATTCCAAGCGTCTTTGCCCATCCCGTCTTTCTCCGCAGGTGCTCGCGTGGCATTAGGGCCGTGGCCCATCCACTCTTTCTCCGCAGATGCTCGTGCCACGTCGGCGCCGTGACCCACCCCCTCATTCCCTGCTGATGCTGCATCACGTAGGTACCCTGTCAACGTTGGAGCGCTCTATCCCCCTTTCACCTCATGACCCTTATAAAATGCCGTAACGTTAGCCATGCTAGCTACACTGTTACCAGTTCAGGAAGCGTCTCGTCATGGCCACGCCACGGATAGACCCCAGCTTTGTCGAAATCGCCGACATCATAAGGTACCCTGCCGCGGAATAGGCCTTCCTTCGTGAAATCGGACTGTCGCCTGCGCCATTGCTTCGACCGGCAGCACATTCTTCCCGGGACGACGGTGTACAGCGACGAGTGGACCGCGTACCAGTGCATACCCAGACTTGTGAATGCCAACGGAACACCACTAAACTTGGACTGGCACACCGTGAACCACAGTGTCAACTTCGTTGATCCACGACAGGCACCAACACGTAAAGGATTGAAAGTGAATGGCACAAGAACAAGTGCCGTCTCGTTCGCAACAGCAACAAGACGACTACCTCACTTATACCGTCTCACCTCGCCTGGCTTTGGTGGAGATCAATTAACGCACGTCCCAACGTGAAAGACCCTTTTCTTCTAATAATGGAGGTAATCGCTCGCCGGTATCCAGTTTAATTGTGATTAGCGCATAGTGAGACATATTGTCATTTTATTCTTATGTTTATGTTGTCATTATATTGTATTATTATTGTCATTATTATGTTTATTATGTCATTTTATTTATTCTTATTGTTGTATACTAATCTCTTGAGCTGATAAACAATACACAATCATTATTTGGAATTTTGGTAGTTTGTGCTTATTGTGGGTGGGGCCCTGTAAGCGACGCTGGCTCGTCGGCCGGGTCCCATTTACAGGTACGCGCAAGTCGCGCTTAATTCGCTCCATCTGCTTCGATAAAGCAGCCTTCCAGGCGTACATAGCTGTAGCATATCCGACGTAGCTCCGCGGGACACTCACGATGCAGGGTAGACAGGGGCAAGGCTCCTTTTTTTGCCTCTCGAGACGTACTTGGTCGTTGCACGTCTCAACGTGAAAGACCCTTTCCTTCGATTAATGGAGGTGATCGCTCGCCGATATCCCGTTTAGGGATCCCTGCCATATCCTGAGTGATGAGCGTGTAGTGAGACATATTATGGCATTTTATTCTTATGTACCCACCCATTGTTTTATACTGCGCTCTTGAGCTGAGAGACTATTTGTGCTTATTGTGGGTGGGGCCCTGTAAGCGACGGCGGCTCGTCGGCCGGGTCCCATTTACAGGTACGCGCAAGTCGCGCTTAATTCGCTCCATCTGCTTCGATAAAGCAGCCTTCCAGGCTTACATAGCTGTAGCATATCCGACGTACCCCGATTAACCAGCCTTGGAACGCTTATTCATCACATGTATATACGAGTCCGAACGATATGTCTTGTGCTGACACAGCTAGGGGAAGCGTAGCGTCCCCTGTCGTAGCGCGCGGTCGACGCGACACGATCAGCTGAGAGAGGAAAAAAAGAAAAGTAAGGGGGGAGGGGGGCAGTGCATCATCTCCTGCAACTCTATTCAGTTTTCCCCGTCATCCCTAATACTGAGATGCGATATCTTAATCGCACAGCTGCGCACACAGCAAGACAACGTGCCTCGACTTCTGCTAGGCGCGGTTCATTCCTTTAATTAAAATGGCCTCTTAATTGTGCAGCAGTGCCGCGCTCGACTTCTGCTAGGCGCGGCTCATTCCGTTAATTAAACTGGCCTCTTAATTGCGCAGCAGCGTCGCGCTCGACTTCTGCTAGGCGCGGTTCATTCGGTTAATTAAAATGGCCTCTTAATTGCGCAGCAGCGCCGCGCTCGACTTCTGCAAGGCGCGGTTTGTTCCGTTAATTAAATTGGCCTCCTAATTGCACGGCAGCCCCACGCTCGACTTCTGCTAGGTGCGGTTTATTCCGTTAATTAAATTGGCCTCCTAATTGCACGGCAGCACCACCCTCGACTTCTGCTAGGCTCGGTTCATTCCGTTAATAAAAACGGCCAGCATCGCTCATGCACTCGCTAAATGCACCGCGGATAACACCAAATTCTTACGGAGAAGCCACAACTACAGGAAAAAAATTTTCAGCCAAGAAATGCACCGCGGATAGCACCAAACTCTTACGGAGAAGCCACAACTACAGAAGAAAAGTTTTCAGCCAAGAAATGCACTGCGGATAGCACCAAACTCTTTCGGAGAAGGCACAACTACAGGAGAAAAATTTTCAGCTAGGAAATGCACCGCGCATAGCACCAAACTCTTACGGAGAAGCCACAACTACAAAACAGAACTTTTCAGCCAAATTTAGCGGCAGTCTGGCAACAACAACCCCAAAGTCTGGCAACAAACTTATGCAACACCAAAAGGAACCTTGCCGAAGATGTCATCCCCCGGGGCAGTCCTCTTCCTCTCCCACTTTCGCCTCTCAATTTTGATCTTTCCTGTCTTCTCCTCACGTCAATTTCTCCCCGGACATGGCTAGCCCGTGGTGGCGGCCCCTTTAATCGACATGTCCCAAGTGTGGATCTAATGTGTACAACCCAGAATAATGCAAAATAAGGTTCACATTGCGTGCTCACACTTGTACAGAAAAAAAGAAAGTAATGTCATTGCACTGATAATCTTGTTTCGCTTGAGGAAGAAATGAAGCTGATGTGGTATATAAAGCACCACATCGGTTGCAGGCA